CCTCCTCCTCCTCCTCCTCCTCCTCCTCCTCCTCCTCCTACCTCCTCCACCACCAACACCACCACCACCACCTTCTCCTACCTCCTCCTACCTCCTCCTACCTCCTCCTCCTACCTCCTCCTTCGTCCTCCCTTCTTCCCCTCCTCTCCCTCCCTCCCTCCCTCCTTCCTGCTCATTTTCACTGATTCCTTCTTCTTCACCCTGCTTTCTGCTCTCTCCTCCTCCCCTCCTCCCTCTCCGTTGACTCTTGGCAGCTCTTCTTCACCGAAGCATGTTCATCTCGCTCGGCATGTGCATCTTATACACCTGCTGGGCAAGAAGAAGTCTAGAAGCCAAAGCTCTCCAGATGTCTCCGACCTTAAGGCCATGCAGAAGGTCCTGATGCTGCTGCTGCTGCTGCTGCTTCTGCTGCTGCTGCTGCTGCTGCTGCTGCTGCTGCTGCTGCTGCTGCTGCTGCTTGCTGCTTGCTGCTTGCTGCTTGCTGCTTGCTGCTTGCTGCTGCTGCTGCTGCTGCTGCTGCTGCTCTACTTTGACTGCTGTCATCACTTCTCCCCTTGTCTGTCTTTCTCGTCCTCATCTTTTGCTCTCTCTGTCTCTTGTTGTTCTTTCCTCCTGCAAGCTTGTTGACTTGTCGCGTAAGGTCGGCAAAATCAGTGAGGCGACAGAGGCAAAGGCCAACGAGGTGAGCGAGGAGGAGCAGGAGGAGGAGGAGGAGGAGGACCATTATGGGATAGGAAGATGGTTATGAAGAGGACAACAAAAGCTCGTAGAGCTCATTGTTCCTTCGCCTTTCTGATTTTCTCACTTCCCCCTATTCCCTTCCCTTCCACTCTCCTTCCTCGTCCCTTCCACTCCCCTTCCTCCTCCTCTGTCCCTTCCTCCTCTTGCTCCTGCACCCCTCCTCTGACCACTTTATCAGGCGGTCCAGTCTATCATCGACGGGAAGGACAAGCATGGAGCGTCTGCAGTATCCTCCTCCTCCTCCTCTCCGGCTAGCAGCAGGCGGATCAAGCCCTCTCCTCCTCTCAAGATCGACGTCTATCCTGGTTCTCTCCGTCCCCTCCGCACAAAAGTAAACCCAACCAGCATCAGGTTGTTGTCCCTTCCCCCTTGGACTGCCTGCCTGCTGCTGCTGCTGCTGCTACTGCTGCTACTGCTGCTGCTGCTGCTGCTGCTGCTTGCTGCTTGCTGCTGCTGCTGCGGCTGCTGCTGCTGCTGCCGCCGCCGCCGCCGCCGCCGCCCCTGCCGCTGCTTCTCCTCACTTCACCCGCAGGTTTTGGAAGCAGCTCGACAACTCTGGCGTGCATTTCCACCAGGACCGCGGGAGGGAGGGCGACCCAATCCACCTCCTCCAGTGACAAGAGGAGGAGAGGAGGAGAGGACGAGAAGAGGGATGTATCATAACATGGAGCAGACATGAGACAAGAACACGAGGCAGGTTGGTGGATGGAGGGGAGGGAGGAAAGGTAGGATGGAACGAGAGGGAAGCGGAGGTTGAGCGACCTCAGGGAGGGGAAGGAGGTGGAACGGAGGAGGATACCAGGAAGGGAGGGCGAGGCACGATTGAGCTCTTGCCGTCGGCGTTTCAAGGCATTCAAACTATTTTATTACCATCAATCGATCAGAATCGATCTTCACATGCGCACATTGCTAGAGTCAGCAAAATGTTCTTTAGAAGAACCCAGAGATTAAGAACAGGAAGTCAAACTTCCCGCGTTTTCATCATGCAAATGAATAACAAGCAGAACACATTGATGAAAGTTCCCGAAACATGCTTCAAGATAGCATCCGACACAAGGGGTTGAAGCATCGTTGTCAACACAGCACACGCTCTTGGCAGCGTTGATCGTCTCATATTAGTTGGTGTTGGAGCTCCTCTCCTCGCTCTGCGTCTCCATCTCAGCGTCTCCCCTCTCTGGACTGACAGAGCTATCCCTCGGTGCGTTCTCCTGAATCAGCATGAGGAGCGATCAAGAGGAGGGAGGGAAGAGGAAGAAGAAACGACAAGAAATGACAAGAAGAAATGACAAGAAGAAACGAGAAGAAGAAACGACAAGAAATGACAAGAAGAAACGAAAAGAAGAAACGAGAAGAAGAAGCGAGAAGAAGAAATGACAAGAAATGACAACAAGAAATGACAAGTAGAAATGACAAGAAGAAGTGAGAAACGAGGGGAGCCGGGAAAAGGATACAAAGGAAGTTGGAAGCGACAAAAGAACTGGGCAGGGAAGGATGGCAAGACAAGGTAGCGGGGAAGGGAAGGAAATAGGAGGGGAGAGGATGCGAGCACCGGTGATCTATGCCGTTCTTGACCGTCTGCCATTGTTCGAACAGGAGAATACCCACGTTGTCTGATCTTTTGCTGTTGAATCACGTCAGGACAAGCCCCATCGCCGCAAGCAGGGGTTGGGGGGGGGGGGGGGTTAATCAAAGGAAAGAGGGAGGAGGAGAAGAACGGAAAGGGAGGGGAGGAATCAGGGGTACCTGAACGTCCGATATGTTTGACATCAAAGTTCCTCCTCCAAACGCCTGAGGACCAGACAAGAATCAACTCACAAGAGACCCGCACAGCCAGTTGATCTCACCTGAACTCCCGCGTCTGAACGCTCTTGCCTTCCTTCTCTTGCTGCTGCTGGCGCTCGCAACCTCTTTGAACCTTCTCCTTTCCAGAATGTTTCCGACTTGACTGTTGTTATGGATTGCGCGTATGCCATGCTGCACGATAACACGAGTCATTAGGAATGCATGCAGATATCTCTATCCTGATACCATTGCCGCCTCAACTCAGCTCCTGGGTCTTCTTCGAGCTGAAACAACAAAATCAGGCATTTTTTCCAAGTGAGCCAACATCTCAAGAGGGTTGTTGGCGAGCAAGAAAAATCGATGCAAGTGATCACGTACCATTTCGTCGTCTTCCATATCGTAATCTTTTTCTGCTGCACCTGGAATACCTTCGTCAATTCTCTGCCCCCCGCCTTCTGCAATTAGCAACACAAAAGGCTGTGGAAAAAATCACAACTGCATCAATGCTTCCTCTACACGGTTGACGAAACTGCTGAGACTAAGAATTGCATTGTGATCTCAAACAACTGACACTCTATCTGGAAGGAGACACCGTACAGCAGTGTACATTCTTGACATCTCAACACCCACAACACAACCAGATCTGACTATGACATTTGAATGATTCGCAGGAAATCCCAACAACACAACAGCGCGAGCCTATCTAACCACAGCTGTATGTCTCATAGCATGATGCTCATGGAGAGTCAGTCATGGCCATAAGAAGTGTGCTGCTACCCTGGTTCCTGTTTGACACGCCTTCTCATTTTGCAGCTCCACGACAGGCCCCTCGGCTGCTCCCTGAAGGATGCGCTCTACTCGAGTCAAGCGCTATATTACCGGAGTCCCCTCAATTCATCTCTCCTCCTCTCGAGTACGACCCGTCACGCACTAAAAGGCTCCTCCTTCTCACTTGCGGACATCCATCAAAGCTTTGAGGGTTTTCATATCAACACGACTTGATAATTTCTGTCTCTTCCGGGCTGCTTCTTACTTGAATGGTGAAGGTGAGCATATTCTATATTCTAGGGAAGACTTCTAGGTCTGTCACATCAAGCTAGCTCATCCTTCTTCATCTCCATATTCAAGAACCTGTCTACCATCAACAACAACCTGACTCTCAAAAGTTTTCTTGCGACCAAAAGCTCAACGAGTGACGTCGACCTGGTCTGCTGAGCAAGGTAGCAAGTTGATCTTACTAGTCTATCACCTTGGTCTCCTTTCCTCTTCCAACCTCCATCGTGGGCGTCGCCAAAACTTCCCTACCATCCCATTCCCATCGCTCGGGCTCTCTTTAGTGCCTGTCCTGAGGTGTGGAGTTGATCTCTTGCTGCTTTTGTTTCATTCTTCTGCTAGTTCCTGTCTTTCCTCTGTGCTGCTCATTTTTCATGCCCTTGCATGTCGGTCTTCACTCATTTTCATGGCTTGCTTCCCCACCATTCTCCCTCACCTGCAGCCGCCATGCTGACTCCCCGTTGACCCTCCTCGCCCGTGCCCACCCACCCAAATCGATCCACCCCCATATCTACACCCCCCTCCAACCCTCTTGCCATCAGGATTACCCCTCCTTTGGTATGGAATTGTCCCTTATCCTTCATGCTTATTGACATACCCACCCTTTTCATATCCTCAGCGGAGTAACCCTACCACCCATTTTAAGCATGAATAAAACAATTCTCCGGACCCACCCCACTTCAGAGCACTTCCACGATAGCAACTACCCCTGGTCTACTCGAACGCATGGCCCAAATACGCACCAAACTCGTATCCCTAGTTGCACCACCCTACCCCTATATTTCTCGTTTCGCGCTGCATTTCGACTGAGGGTAGTGGTCAACAGGAACATAACCTACCCTCTTCAGTTCGTACCCCTCCCCCGACCCCAACCCGAAGCACCCTTACTACTACTACTCAGCATCAAACAACCCCAAATGGACCCACCCTGACATTTATGTGCATATTTCAGGTCACGAAGGGGGTAGGGTCATTTGTGAAAGTCTTTACCACATGACCCCGCTGACATTTTTTTGTTACAAAGGTCATTTGCCTTACATAGGTGGGGTAGTCGGTGTGTGAAGGAGGGGTCATCGAGAGAGAGGGGTTCGGGTACTTAGGGGTGGGTTCAAATCAGAGTTGAAAGGGTGGGGTGGTCTGTGTAATGTGGACTGAACGGGTACAAATCAGGTTTAGGGGGGTAGTCTGTATGCAGGGGGTACTCATCGAAGGGGTGTATCTTGCAGGTAGAGGAGACAAGATAGATCTCGAGATTTGTGAGATCCGGAAAGGGGGCAAGCGCAGGGCGGGGGAGGGGAGGCAGGAGCAAGCGGTAAGGAGTGCGAGGAAGAGGAAAGGTGAGAGGATGAAGGGCAGCAGCAGGAGCAGGGGCAGGAGCAGGATCATTGTGATGATGATAATGATGATGATGATGATGATAATGATGATGATGATGATGATTATGATTATGATGATGATGATGATAATGATGATGATGATGATGATGATGATGATGATGATGATGATGATGATGATGATGATGATGATGATGATGATGATGATGATGATGATGATGAGTGATGATGATGATGGATGATCGATGATCGAT